TTCCCAGGCTGGAGCAGGTGTCACTTGCTACACCGAGGCATACCTCTGTCATCAGACAACTGTTGTGTCTTCAGCTGGACTGTCATCCCTGCCCCAGCAGAGGTCTAGCAGGCCCATGATGAATGTTTGTTGAATGAATGAATGGCTCCCTCACTTGGCTGTGAACTCCTGGAGAGCAGGACTGGCTACACAGTTTCCGAGTGCTGTATTAGAATAAATGGCATTGAAATGCACAGGAGGGATACGTAACCAAACCCGGGAAACCGAGACTTCCCAGAGGAGAGACAAAGTTATTTAGGAAGAAGGAATGGGGAGATGTGAAGACATTGAGGCAAGAACAACAGAAGCGGAGGGAGACATCACTGATGGTCATTTGGTTGGAACTTGAGGTCCAGGGGGGACAATGGCTGCAGAGAGAGGTCTTTCACCCCTGGCTTCACTGATTGACCCAGTAAATATTCATACCTATAAGGGTTCCTGGCCCTGGGCTGAACCCCAAAGGTAGGAAATGAACCAGACAACCCTTACTATTGAGTTTAGGGTACCTCTGGGCTAGTGGAAGCCTTTGAGGGGCTTAAAATTGGATGGGTGACCTGCTCAGATATATATTCTAGAACATGCTTCTTAAGTTATCCATGGTAAAGGATATTTAAAAATAGACAAAATACAAGTCCGCGTTCCTCTCTGTCAGATGCAGCAGTGCGTGGTTACTGTAAAATTGTTCCAAAGGCTTCTAAGTGCCTACTCTCCATTTTCTTACTTACCATACACCAGGGATAACAGTGTGCAGGCAGCACTGGCCTGAGCTGTCCTTTGAGTAGCACTGTTCAGAGAGCCATCTTGGCTGCAGATGGAGAAATGCTTGGGGGAGGACTGAATGGAGCAGAGACCATGGGAGGGCTGTTTCTCTGACCCAGGAAAATGGTAGTGGTGATCTCGACTGGGATGTCACAGTGGATACTTTCCAGAGGTAAAAGCCACAGATTTGTGTGTGGGGTGAGGGGTGTGAAGGGTAAAGGTCGGAATTAAGGTGCCTCCTCGGTTTCTGGCTTGGGCTGATGGTGATTGTGACTGAGATCTGGACTGGAGGAGATGTAACTTTGAGGGAGGGTGACGGGCTCAGTACTGAACATATTTTTTATTTATTTTTTTTTAAATTGAGGTGTAATTGATATATAACATTAGTTTAAGGTGTACAACATAATGATTCAATATTTGTTTATACTGCAAAATGATTACCACAATGAGTCTTATTAATATTGGTCACTTGAACATATTAAGTTGTATGTGAACCACAGATGTTCAAGAGGCAGCTAGAGTTAGGGTCTTGAGAGCAGGTTCAGAGCCCTGTGATTTTTGATAAACTTCCCTGGTCCAATCTGGCATTGACTTTTTCTCCGGGTCCCTGACTGCAGACTCAGCTGGTGTGGTGTTGCTTGTCCCTGAGGGAGGTCTAGGGGATGCAGGGCCTGGGGTGCATATGTTGGAAGTAGGATTCAGGTGCCTTTTCTATGGAGCTGTGGGAGCTGCACGTCTCACTGCCACCACTGGGTGGCAGGCGTGCTTCAGACAAGTGTCCATGGACTGGAGGAGTGGGCCTTGTTCCAGTATTTAGCCACCTGCCCCCCCGCCCCCCTCCATATTTGACCTTTGGCTTCCACTGAAGTGCTCGTCTTGTGGGCCTGTCACCTTATCATGGGGCAGGAGCATGTGTGCGGTTACCGGGGCTGTGGAGCCGAAGGCACGGTGAAATGGCTCCTGGAGTGGACACAGAGGCAGATGCCCGGCCTCTGATCGAGCAGTTCCTTTCCTCCCTCTGGAAGCCATCTCCAGGCTGCCCGCGCAAGGCCCAGGCAGAGGATTTGCTTTTGTCTAGCCCAGGGATTGGCAGTAAACAAAAGGGCTATATAGGGTCAAAGCAGACTGGAGCCCACTGGACGTGACGCCACGTGGGCATGCCACAACTCTGCCCCTGTGCCCTTAGACGGTGCAGGTGCCCGTGTATTCAGAGCAGGAGTACCAGCTCTATCTTCATGACGACGCTTGGACTAAAGCAGAAACCGATCACCTCTTCGATCTCAGCCGCCGCTTTGATCTTCGTTTTGTAGTTATCCACGACCGCTATGACCACCAGCAGTTCAAGGTGAGCAGGTGCTCATCTGCATGTGTGCCTAACCCCAGGCCTAGCAGGCCCGCTGCTCTCGTCCGCCCCTCCACATGCCTCCGAGTGTCCCCCGCCCAGCCCATCCCCCGTGTCGTCTCCTCAGAAGCGTTCCGTGGAGGACCTGAAGGAACGGTACTACCACATCTGCGCTAAGCTTGCCAATGTGCGGGCTGTGCCAGGCACAGACCTTAAGATACCAGTGTTCGATGCTGGGCATGAGCGACGGCGGAAGGAACAGCTGGAGCGCCTCTATAACCGGACCCCAGAGCAGGTCAGCCCTGAGCCCCCAACTCTCCTCCATGCCCCCAAATCCACTGTCTCCATCCTCAATACCCTCTTCTCTCTTGCCCCAAGTCCCTCTACCTCCCACTGGCTGGTACCTGTGTGCGCCCCCCTCCCAGCCCTACTCCCTCACTGGCCACCCTCCCTGCTCTGATAGTCCTTCACCTTTTCTGATTCCCTAGCACCCCTTCCTCTCCGTCTACCCTCCCTCCCCAAGGACCTGCACACGTCTTAGCGTCTCTCCCCCAGGTGGCGGAGGAGGAGTACCTGCTGCAGGAGCTGCGCAAGATCGAGGCCCGGAAGAAGGAGCGGGAGAAGCGCAGCCAGGACCTGCAGAAGCTGATCACGGCGGCAGACACCACTGCGGAGCAGCGGCGCACCGAACGCAAGGCCCCCAAGAAGAAGCTGCCCCAGAAGAAGGAGGCCGAGAAGCCGGTGTGGAGACTACAGCAGCCCAGCCCAGGGTGGAGGGGCCGCCTGGCACCGGGGACCCAGGGGAAGGCTCAGAGCACCCGGAGCCGGCCGGGGGCTGGGACTCCAATCCCTGTGACACTTCCCGCTTCTCCCCCAGGCCGTTCCAGAGACTGCGGGCATCAAGTTCCCAGACTTCAAGTCCGCAGGCGTCACGCTGAGGAGCCAGCGGGTACGTGTGTCACTTCCTTCACTGTGATTGGGCCCTGGGCTGGAGCGGGAGGGGGGTGCCATGTGCTGCAGGTAGAGGTGGCCTCGGGGACGCGGCCAGGCTGTGGTCATAACTTCCGCTTGCTGGCTATTTCCTTTTCTGCCCCAGAGCTGCCGCCAGGGGTTAGCTTCTCTTCCACCCCCCCACTGCCTTAGTCCCCTTCATTCTAAGGTGCTTGTGGGGGAGAGGGCTGAGCTGCTGGGTCATTGCAGATGAAGCTGCCCAGCTCTGTGGGACAGAAGAAGATCAAGGCCTTGGAGCAGATGCTGCTGGAGCTGGGTGTGGGTGAGTATGGAGGCCGCGGAAAAGGCAGGGGGCGGGTGGTCCCTGTCGCCAGCCTTCCAGCACTGCCCTGCGCCTTCCACCCTCCACCCGCAGAACTGAGCCCCACGCCCACGGAGGAGTTGGTGCACATGTTCAACGAGCTGCGGAGTGACCTGGTGCTGCTCTACGAGCTCAAGCAGGCCTGTGCCAACTGCGAGTATGAGCTTCAGATGCTGCGGCACCGGCACGAGGCGCTGGCCCGGGCTGGCGTGCTGGGGGCCCCGGCCACACCGGCATCGGGCCCGGCCCCGGCCTCTGCCGAGTCAGCGGCACCCGAGTCTGGTCTTGCCCCCGATCTCACCAAGGACACCATCATCGATGTGGTGGGTGCACCTCTCACGCCCAATTCGGTAAGAGCCTGGACAAGCCGAGGAGTGTGAACTGGCCCCGCATGTGAGCATGCTCACGTGTGCACAGGCTTGCTCCCTCTAGTGCCTGCAATGGGAACTGCCCCTCGGGGGTGGAGACTGAGGGCAGGAGGGGGTGGATGGCCAGTGTGAGACACATGCACCAAGCCTGAACCAGGCCTCAGGGGCTGGCCACTGATCTCATCGTCTTCTCTGAATCCTCAGAGGAAGCGACGGGAATCGGCCTCCAGCTCCTCTTCTGTGAAGAAAGCCAAGAAGCCATGAGGGCCACGCCGGGTGTGAATGCTGCTGCTGTGTAAATAGAGTTGCTGAGTGGACTGGGCTGCTTCCGTTTCTTTCCCACCATTTCTGCCGCCCCTGGCTGGGAGGGGGGCCAGGAGGGAGTCACCACACCCACTTCATGGGTGGCATTGGGGCCTGCTTGCATGGAAGCCCTTAGCAGCTCTCTACCATTAAGCACTGCCCATGTTGCCCAAACACCTATGCCTAGAAACACCTGTGGTTCCACACTCTCGGTGGCTCACATGCAGCCATGGCCTCAGATTCCAGCAGCTTCAGGCAGCCTCATGCTCAGTGGCTATGGCCCAGTGCATATTCGGGAGGGGGGGGGGAAAGAAGGGCTCAGAGGTACGTCAGTGACAGCTAGCTGCACTGGTGGCCTTGAGCACAGAGCAGCCTGGAACACACTAGCTCCTACCCTTCCTGACAGCATCAGGCACAGCATATCTGGTCCACACGTTACCCAGGGCCTCATTTCCCCGACTTTATTCAGTGGCACGTTCACAGCGGGGATGGGGTGGACACGAGATCTGTCCTGGAGCCCTGGGGGCACCACACACCATGCACTACAGATGGGAGGGGGCACAGGGGGCTTGGTGGCCCCAGCAGAAGCCTGTGTACCAGGGAGAGGCAGTACGTGCCTGGGTCCCCTAGCCCAGGCCCATAATGGGAGGGGCTAATACTGGGCTGAGGTTGTGGGATGGGGATGGGGGGGCCACAAAGTATCTGCTCCAGAGGGACCAAGTGGCCAAGCCCTTACCCAGGGCACAGGCCCGCAGGGCAGGCTGGGGACACTCGATGTAGAGCTGTGCCTCTCCCTTTTTCCCTCTGGCGAGGGAGAGGAGGATTCTGGGTTGGGCCAAGCAGCTACCCTGTACTGCCCCATCCCGTTCTCGGCCAATCAGAACGGCTTCGAGGTCTGCTTGAAGATGAAGCCTCGATATGCAAGTGTCTTCATGATGTTGGCAATGTTTTTGCAGTCATCTAAGAGAGAGAGGAAAGACGTTTAGATGGGCCCCAGATCCTTCCCTCCCACGCCCACAGGTGCTCTCACATGGGTGGGAAGCAGGGTCAGATTCGGAGCCAGACTTTAAACTAGGGGTCCCACTCCCTTGTGGCAGCACCTCCAGCGTTAGGTTGGGCTGGATGATGCTGGCCAGGCAGGAAGCCTGGTCTCAATGTTTCTCGGTCCCATAATTCATGCTGGAAATTGGCCGGCGTGTCCCGCCCCGGCCCCAGTGGTGATGTATGGGCGCCGTCGCAGTAAGAAAAAGGCAGAGTAAATGTGTAATTTCTCCCTTGACGGCCCCCGGCCGCTGGGCGATCCTTCTTGTTGCCGCCGCGTGGGGACGGCCTGTCCGCCACACTCCGTCTTCCCGCCACCCGCCTTGATGTCTCCATTTCATTACTGTGCGGCCATTCATCACGCCCACGGCCAGGGTGACTTTGCCGCCACTTGCGTGTGTGGAAGACATGGCCCAGGCCATAATCACTGGTGACAAGGCACAAGCCTCGGCACTTCTGGGCCAGGGCCTGGGAGACACCTGCCCTGGGCCCCGGGCTCATGTACTCAAACAGCAACCTGCCCGGAACTGCTCCTGCGCAGGCCCGGCCAGCGGAGAGGGTGCAGGTTCGTGGTTCCGTAACGCCCTGGCCGTTAACCTTCCATTGGACACACCTGAGCCCAAGCCCTGCCTCTCCTACCCCATAGGCTCAGAGCCGGTGCCGGCAGGACTTTAGTCCTGTCTGGTGTGGCTCAGGTTAAATGTGTCTGTGTCTGCCACCCTGTCAGGCAATCTCACCAGTTTCGTTCTCCATACTCCAAGGGTCCCAGAATCCCGGTGGTCACAGGAACGGGTATTCTGGGTCTTTAGTATCATGGGGACATGGGTCAGGGTGTGCTCTGTCATCACCAGCAGGAGGTACAGCTTCCCAGAGCTTACCCCACTACTAGAGTGACTAGAGTAAGCCCAGGACAGGAATGGCCGAGGGCCTGGGTTTCCCTTCCCACTGCCAGAGCAGCCACCAACTCCTGATCCCTTCGCCAGCCTCTCCTCCCACCCCTCCCACCTCCCACAGACGCTCCAGCCCATAATCAGGGCCTCAGCTGCCACCAGCCCTGATGGGATCGATGGTTGCGATGGCAGAGGTATTGCACATTGATGTCATAATCAGGTATGGGAGGTGGTAAGGTCAAGGTGGGGTCAGGAGGCTCCACTGCTGCCAAGGACCAACCCCTTCTACTGAGTCTCAACCTGCCCTCGCCGGGACCTTAGACTAGGAGAGGGGACCCACCAGAGCTAAAAAGGCTCTGGTCAGGCCTGGGCCAGGATCAGCCAGCCACCAGCTCTGCAGCCTCTGTTTAGGCCAGACTGGGCCCTGCCTTGCATGAATGTATCGATGGCAGATGTGAGCATGGAGAGGTGTGACCCAGGACCTAGTCACAGGGATACCTTATTCCTCCAGAGACTCAAGAAGCTACAAGGGCTGGTCTGAGGCAGAAGAGGGAAGACGGATGGGTGGGTAGTGGCGGCCATGGCAACTCCAGACGTGACCCATCCCCGTGGTTTATGGGCCGGACACACACCCGCTCATCGGAGGCCCTGTCATTTGTCTCCCTTAGTGTGTATGCCTGTGCGGTAGGGGTGGAGAGTGGAGGGAGGGGTTGTGACAGGAGGAGGTAGGCAGTTGAAAGGCAGAGGAATGGGGCAGGAAGGGCCATGTGGGGGTGGCAGGAGGGGGTGGGATTGGGGCAGGAGGGACCCTGGGAGGGGGGAGGGTTTATGACAGGGCCTAGGGCTGTGATAACGCCATCAGAGGGCCTCTGATAGGGCGATTTTCTTCCTAAGTCAGTCTGGTCTTGTCCGGCACCTCCAATCCTTCCTGTACTCTGGGGACCATAGCCGCTCTGCATATTAAGAATAAGTCCCCTCGTTATCTGCAATTACCGAGCGGCCACACACCTCATTTCTTCCAGCAGAAAAGAAAATTAGTTTTCTATTGACTTCATTTGGCTCCTCCCTCAGTGCTGGACAAATCACTCCATCTGCCTCCCCGGGCCCAAGTGGAAGTGCCAGCCCCTGCCCCCAGGCCACCGGCCATCCAGAGGGCAAGCACTGACCTCCCACCTGTGCCTGGCCCTGAGCTGGGAGAAGCCCATGTGCCCCAGCAGCTGTCTTTGACCTCTTCAGACAAGGATGCTAAAGACAAGGGAGACGAGGATTCATCCTCACGAGGAACGTCAGCTCCCCGAGGATCACCGTCTGCGGCCTGGACTCTCTCCTGAGCTCAGATAACAGACCCAGGTGCTCTGGAGCATCTCTTTCTAGATCTCCATACAAACTCTAAACGTCCAGTAATAAACTGATTTTCCTCCACAAGCCTCTTCACTCCCCCGTGTTCTCCGTCCCTGTGAAAGGACCCCCAAACGCCCAAACAAGAAACCGGAGGCAGGCCTGACACCTGCCTTTCTCCCTCACTCCCCAAATCTAATCAAGTGAGAACTGTAGACCCTCATTTTCTGTCTAATCACCTACTTCCTGTCATTCTGGCAGCCACTGCCTTGGCCAGCACATCATTTCTTGCTTCTACAGCAATAACTTGTCCTCCTTCCCCCTCAGATTCATTCTCCTGTTGCCAAAGTGATCTTTCTTACACAAACCTGGTCACCGCCTTTCCTCTTTAAAGTCCTAACCTCTATCTTCCCATGTCAAGGAATCATTACTGTTTTCTGAAAATGACAAGTGGGTTCTGGAGTTAGACAGCCTTGTTTGAAGTCTGAACTGTGCCCACTGGTGACAGCCCCGCTTAGTTTCTCTGAGCCTCGGGTCCTCCACAAGGTGACAAAGGACGCGCCTTCGGGATGAGGAGGAGTAACAGGTGATGTGCCTCGGGTCTCTGTACATGCCTTCTGTTTGGATGCCTCTTCTTGAAGGGAAGACATGCTAGCTTCCACCCAATGGTGAGGAGGTGTATAATGCACAATCCATGGCATGCTGGCACGCCTGGCACACTTGGTGAAACCAACCGTCATTCACTCCCCCACTTGGACTGACTACTGGTCCTGTTTTCTGGGGATTGTGGAGTCTTGTTGCAACTGGTCTACGACATGAAGAGGAACCCAGATGGGGAGCCACTTGCTTCAGTTCACCCAAAAGTCAGTGGCATAGCACTTACGGGCTTCCAACACAGGCTTCTTCTCCGCCCTGGAAGCCTGCATAAAAGCCCATGCAACCTACTTCCTGATCAGTTTAAACAGTCAATGGCACGGCCAGAAAACGAGGGAACTGGGCAGAAGCACAGAAACAGATCTGGGTCTTTTAACAGATCAGAGAGACGGCAGCAGGGAGAGGCCTCTGTTTGAAGCGCCGGGCCACCTGGGGCAGCAGCCCATCGTCTGGCACCTCTCACTGAGCTAATGAGGTGAGCCTGAAGCCGTCATGGGGTGGGGACATGAGGAGCAGGGTCACAGGCTGTGCTCACACTGAAGGCCTCCAGAAACAGGTCTTCACCACCTCCAAATTCTAGAAGACTAACCTGTTTTATGTTCTTGCAGGGTCATCGACTTGTGAAAAAAATGACCCTCTTCTTTCTATGGGCATTAACATTCTTAATGTTGAAAATATTTTTATATTGCCAAGACCACAATGGGAGGGGTGCGGCGGCATAAGTCCCCCGGACAGGTGAGTAGAGCTAGCACCTAACAAAGGATAAGCTTGCTGGCTGGCCAAGGAGAGCCCTGCATCTGCTAGTGGAGGGTAGCTCAGACCATCGGGACACCCAGTGAGAGCTCACCGGGCACAGCCGCCTGAGGCTGACATGGTTAGCTGCACTTGTTTGGGAATTGGACATCAGAGGACAGGAAGCAGGACCTGGGCCAGGCTACCCCTAAGAGGGAAGGGGGCCAAGGAATGTCTTGGAGGTCATTCATTTGTGTGCTCATTAATTCAGCAAACACACCGACACCTTGTGTGTGCTGGGCACACACCGGCCATGCTGGTCCCAGGGCTGCAGACTGTAGCTTCCTTGACGAGCTCAGAGACAGACCTGTAGGTGGTGCAGTTTGAACAGTGCTATGAGAAGGAGGCACAGAAAAGGTACCTCATTCAGTCCGAGGATCAGAAAAGGGATCCGGGGAGGACGAAGGTAAGCAGAGGTCTGAAGGGCGTATGGGAGGGGCTGGCCAGAATGTTGGGGTTGAAGTTGGGGAGGTGTCCTTGCACAGTGAGCAGCACAGGCACATTCTGGAGGGGAAATGTGAAGTTTAGCAAGCGGTGGTGGTGGGGTGATGAAGACTAAGAGGCAGGGGAGTGGCCAGAGATGAAGCTAGTGAGGTCAGTAGGGACTGGCTAGCGAAAACTGATATAGTCCCAAATGATAAGCTAAGAAACATAAGGTTTTATTATTCTGGGAATGACTGGGAGACACCAACATGTTTAAGGAGAAGCATGACAGGACCAAATCTATGTTTCAGAATGATTGAGGAGGGACTAACCCTCAAGGCAGAGACACCCATTAGCAGATTGTACTATGGTCCAGGCCAGAAGTGGAGGCCAGAACGAGGCCAGTGGCCGCAGGGGCCTACTGGTGATCTGGAGAAGTGGACGGAGGAAAGAGATTTTTAGGAAATAGGATGAGCAAGCCTGGAAGGAGGAGCAGGCTGGAAGGAGGAGCCCAGAATCTTGAGATAAGGCACATCAGGAGAGGGTGCAGGCTGGGGTCAGTGATGAACTTAGCTCCAGATGTGCTAAGTCTTGAGGTTCCTATGGGACATCTAAACTTATCAGACGTTTTCTTTATGTCTTCTGGGCTTTATATATTGCTTAAAAAGGCCTCCCCTATCCCAGCATTATTAGAAAGCCATTCTATATTTCCTTCTAATACTTTCCATTTTTATGTTTAACTTTTTAAAACTGTAGAGAGTTTATTTTGCACATGGTGAGAAACAGAAGAGCTAACTTTATTTTCTCACTAGTGGACAGCCA